TTTCTTTGTTTGTACTTCTCCTTCTTCCTCTCTAATCTGTTGCTGCTGCTGCTGCTGCTGCAGCAGCAGCTGCTGCTGTTGCTGCTGCTGCTGCTGCTGCTGGTGTCAGTGTTTGGATTGCCGTTTGCTGCTGCTTCTTTTGTTTGTCTCCCTCGCCCTTCTGCATTCTGCTGCTGCTGCTGCAGCAGCAGCAGCAGCAGCAGCAGTTATTTGTTTGTGTGTCTGCTGCTAAAAGTTTATATTTGTGTGTGTATGAATTGCTGCAGCAGGCGAACCACCACCACCACCACAGCAGCAGCAGCAGCAGCAGCAGCAGCAGCAACAGCAGCAGCAGCAGCATCACCACGAGCAGCACAACCCCTCCAGGCCCCGCACCAAGCGCAGCCTAACCAGCAGCAGCAGCCGCACCAACATCACCAGCAGCAACAGCAGCAGCAGCAGCAGCAGCAGCAGCAGCAGCAGCAGCAGCAGCAAGATGGTGCAGGTAAACAAGCTGCCTGGGTTCCTTACGGACCGCAGCCACCCGCTGGGGTATTGGGTGGTTGAGTTAATAAGCTTTATTGAGGACTCTGTTAGGCTCGTAAGAAGGTAAACTACTGTCTCCTTTTGTCTCCTTTCTGTCTCCTTTTTGTCTCCTTTCTGTTGTTTCTTTCTTTTTCTCTTTTTTTGTTTTTTTTTCTGTTTTTTTTTTCTGTTTTTTTTGTGTTTTTTTTGCTTTTTTTTGTTTTTTTTTGGTTGAGTTAATAAGCTTTNTTAGGCTCGTAAGAAGGTAAACTACTGTCTCCTTTTGTCTCCTTTCTGTCTCCTTTTGTCTCCTTTCTGTCTCCTTTTTGTCTCCTTTCTGTCTCCTTTCTGTCTCCTTTTTGCCTCCTTTTTGTCTTTGTGTTTTGTTTCTTTCTTTTTCTCTTTTTTTGTTTTTTTTTCTGTTTTTTTTTTGTTTTTTTTTGTTTTTTTTGTGTTTTGGTTGTTTATATTGAGGAATATGTTAGGCTCGTAAGAAGGTAAACTACTGTCTCCTTTTGTCTCCTTTTGTCTCCTTTTGTCTCCTTTTGTCTCCTTTTTGTTGTTTTTTTTGTCTCCTTTTGTCTCC